ATCTATCGACTAAGCTCCTCGTACTTGGCCGGCTCTATGTGATAGTGTGGCAGGTTCGAGAGTGATGCTCCAGGAACCAAGTCGATAGCATGCTGAATGTGCCTCAATGGAGGCAGGTCTCTAGGAAGCTCCTCTAGGAGTACATCGGCGTACTCTGATAATATACCCTCGACTTTTGGAGAAGGCGGGGTAAGGGTCGTGTTGTCTCGCATATCCAAAGCAAGAGCGAAGCACGTTGGGGATTCATCTATGTCTGACGTGATCTCATGCTGAAAGGCAGGTCCCTTCATCACGATTAACCCAACACGTGACTTAGGGTCACGCTTTGGTGTGGGCTTGTTGATATGCGGATACCAAACAAGTCGGCGATCTCAATACATGAAAGAGCAAGTGTTTGCTCTTCCCATGAGTTGGACGTCATAGTCAAACAACCAGGGCTGTCCAAGTATGATGCCGTCGTTTTTCATCGGAAGGACATCACACAAGATGTGCTCATCATAGGTGCTCACCCTAAGTGGCACTTGGCATTGTCAACGAATGGGTAGTGCGGTGGCGTCTATCCACAATACGTCGTAAGGGGCTGGATGGCTGATAGTATTCAGCCCTACCCTCTACAAGACCTAGTCTGACACAGCATTGACGCAACTGTCACTGTCCATGATCACCTTGTAGGCGTGTCCGTTGCTCTTCACATAGGTGTAGAAGGTCGACGTGCGAAAGGAATCGTTTGTCGTAGGTGAAGATGTGGGCATAGTCGTCCTCGGTGCCGGGGTGATCTCTCTAGCTGCCGTGGTGTCAGGCTGTGGTATAAGAATCGCATCTCGAGATGGACGCTGGACAGCGATGCTGACCAATCTCCTCGATGAAGTGCTTGTCGATGAGGTAGCGAGAGAGGCAGCCTCAGTTGTTGGTACGGTGGCTGGCCGGATCTGGATGTAGCCAATTAAATCAGGAGTGTCATCACACTCCTCGGCCAAACCCTCGTCAGCAATGTAGACATCATCGCCTACAGGGACGTCAGCCTCGTGTGAACCTCTACCCAATTCTTCGATCTCTATGAGGAGATTTGAAGATGGGCATTGGCTCATCCGGTGCCCCTTACCCTTACACTTGAAACAAGTGATATGGGCTTGGGATGCGGCCGTAGCACGATTGGATGCGTCGGCTGGTGGTGGACGTGAGGGTGGTGCAGAGCCTACTGATATTGCCGGTGTAGTCTGTCCGTTCCCTATACTAGTACACGTCAGTGTTGTTGTCGATGTCTGTGCAGATCGCGTGGACGCGATCTTCATGGTGATCAGAGGTGGGGTGAATTGTGTGTCCTCGGCGGGTCGCTCCATATGCTCTACAATGGGGTAGGCCTCGTCTACTTCGGATGGATTGCCTTTCAGCACTTCGTTCCGAAGCCGCAGACTAAGTCCGTGGGTGAAAATGCCCAAAACCACATGTGAGTCCTCGACAAAGCAACACCTCATGCGGCACTCCTCAAAAGCCTGAATATAGTCTTGGATAGGCATCTTGCCCTATCGGAGGTCTAACCAATTGAGGAACAGCATCGACTCGTACTGTCGAGGAACATACTTGTTCCTCAAGCGTGATGCCATATCAACCTATGGTGTGATGGGCTGCCCTCGTCAGTGTGCCGTGTAGCTCTTGTTTTCTCAAAAGATCTTGGCCTGTCTGCCAAGTCTCAGCTCTGCATACTCCGCGCATAAATCATCATCCATGCGGTACCATCGAAAATAGGAGTTCATACTAGACTCCCAATCTATGAAGTCCTTGGGCGAATGGGAGCCATCAAAGAGTGCCACATCGGCGCGCACACTTTTCAGTATGCGGGCCCTGTGATCCTCACGTCGTCTGTCCCGATCATCCAATTGATCGGCCTTATGGTCACCACCAAAGTCACAATGGGGAGGACTTGGGTAACGCCTTTGATCGTAGTAACGATCCTGGTGGGCATCCTGGGGTGCTTGGTGAAAGTCCGGAGCACGCTAGTAGTCGCAGTAGGAATCATCGCGATCTCGTGGCTGACGCTCTGCTTGCCGATCAAGCTCCTCTCGTCAGGAAGGGTCAGCTCTGTAACCCGGAAGGTCTCTCTTGTCGTATCCCTGGTTGCGTCCGTGGGGTCGATAGTCCTCATAGTGAGGTCGGGGTGGTGGTGGTGGCGAACGTGGGAGATCGTCCCTACGAGCAGGGTAGACCAGCTCGCGGCGATCATAAGTATCCTGTGGCCAATGACCGCCCAATCGATCGTGGCCATCGTCGTGACGTGGTGTGTCGCGGCGACGAAGATTCCCTCGATGATGATCATGATCGAGGTACTGGTGATCATATGGATCACTATAGGGGCTCACAGGCCGGCGGGGCTCGTGATGCTCCTGATATGCCTCTGTAATAGGCAGTGCAGTCAGTGGTGCAATCGGATATGTGACCGACGGTGGAGCCGGTGGCGGTGGGCCATGAGCTGCAGCTACAAAGGTAGCTCGCTCCAGACGCTCAATAGTCTGGGTCAAGCTACACATGACATCATCTGGGAGGGAGCGTGCTCCATCCCTCGAAGGGTACCGGGGCGAAGGTTGCCTTCGGCCACCTCTGTCACGACCCCTAGTACTCTTCGGTGGATAGTAGGGCATAGATTCCTTCCCAGCTCGGCGGCTCGTAGCCGTGGGCGGCTGGGGCCACCCTAATGCCTCTCTGGCTGACATAGGACTCAGAGTCTCCCGGGGTCGGGAGGGGTCTGGTACCGAATCTGTCGGTCTCAATGGAGATGGTGGACTCGTGTCCACTCTAGCTACTCAAGGAGTAGCGGGATCTGACGCCTCGCACGAGTGCCGTGATGATGGTGAACCTCCTCGAGCTCTGGCTGAGCATGTCTCTACCATTGCTCGGTCCTACGGGTGCCTAGATGCCAATGTAATCCTATATGAATGGTCTACTGGTGGTATGGAAGCTCGGTGAGCATCCTTAGGGGACCGAGGTTAGGTGGTAACCCAACCTGGCTCTGATACCAATTTGATGTAGGACGGGGTAAGAACCCTTGTACCTGATCAATGAAACTCAAGACCTAGGATGGAGCAATGAAAAGGAGATCGGATAAGAATGTATGGACCCTAGACTCTAGGTCTGACCACCTAACCTTAGTATAAGCAGGCATACCAATATGCACAATCAACTCAAGACAACCCGGGGAAACACTCGACGATGGTAAGTGTGAGGCCCTCTCGGTCCACATTCGGATAGACAGCAAAACGATCATCGTGAAGTAGCCTAGGGCTGCAGCTCACGAGTGGTGACAAGTCTGGCGCAGCATCGGAAGTCACAACCTGATAACCCGTCCCATCCTGTCTACGTTCTCCTGATGGCGGTGGAAATGAGCCGAGAAAACCCTTCGAAAGATAATTGAACTTAAGAGGAAGGGGTACGGAGCTAACCTTCAGGGCTGTGTAGCCCGGCGGGTCGTGATGGAGCAGAGACTCAACATAAGCAAAGACCTCCAGGGAAGAGCAACGCTCAGCGTCGACGGTCAGTCCTAGTCGAGAAGTCACCGTAGTCGTCGTCGTAAGGCGTGGCACGGTCGGCGCGGGCGTGGGCACGCTGGTGGGCCGAAGGGCACACTAGCAAGCGCGTGCGGCAAGCCACGTGGTGTACCTCAGGGCACGCGGGTGGCGGCGCCGGGTGGGTGCGCGGGGCGTGTGTGGCGGCGGTGCTTCGGGGGGAAGGCCGAGCGTCAGCGGCGCTTCGGCGGGAATGCCAAGCGTCAGCGGCTCTCGGCGGGAATGTCAAGCGTTAGCAGCGCTTCGGTAGGAATGCCGAGCGTCAGCGGCACTTCGACGGGAATGCCGAGCATCAGCGATTAGGCGGAAACCCAATTGTCGCTGGAAGGATCGGCTTTCTCTGGCGGCGCTGGGAAGTGGAGCAGAGGAAGGAGACGATCTAGCTGACGATACTAAGGAGGGTTGAGCCCTCTCGATCTAGGCGGCGCTGGAAACGGCGTGATAAGTCTTCATTATCATGAGTTAATAATTAGTAAATAATATAGTTTTAGCCTTAACTTGTGATAAATAGACTTATATTTGTGTTAAAGTGTGAAAAGTTGTTTTCAGTTGATTAATGTGATTTTTTGGGTAATTATGTGATTTTATACGAATTTATATGATTTTTATAGTCTTACTTTTGAGATAAATGAAGAAAAAGAAATAAAACTAAAATATTGCAAAATGGGGGGACCCGCCGGCTAGCCGGGCCTGCAAGTGGGTCGGAAGCTCAGTCAGGGAGTAGCCGCGAGCAGGGGCTCAAGCGGCTTGGACCGATAGGGGCACATGTGCGCCACTCCCCTTCCACGTCACCGGTGGCTAGCCAGCTGTGGGGCAAGGAGTGGTCGTACACACGAGAGAAGGGACTTTGCTTAAAAAGCTAACATTACTATTTATTCGCCTGAAAAATCGACGCACAACCGATGTGGGACTAAACCCACGTCACACCTTCCTCAAAAGGGGCGGACAACCGGCGCGGGTTCGAATCCTCCTAGAGTCAAAATTCATATCTTTTTATCTGATTATCGCGAGTTTCCTACAGATCGCCGGTGAAGGATTAAGCAACCAGAATCGCTGGATCATCGGCGAAAATCTCGTCAACGCGATTCGCAGAGCATTGCTACTAAAATTGCTGAACGATTCGCGATAAAAGGATCGCGAATCCATCGAGTAAATCATCTCTGATTGATCGACGAACAAGCCGTCGTCGAGAAGAGGACGATCTGCCGGGAGACGAGTCGCCACCTCCTGAGAGCGTACCAGATGCGATGAAGAGCCTCCTCTTGCTCCGCGGACTTGAGGATGAAGCTCCCTGACACGCGCCCTACCTCCATCTAGCTCCTTTCTGTCGGGTGACAGCCGCAGGAGAGCCGCAAAGTCGCCGTTTTTCCGCTCTGCCGGGTGACAGCCGCCGGAGACGACTCGACGACCCATTTCATTAATCTCTAGACTTTACGAGAAGATCTAGAGATTGCCCACGCCGTCCTTGTCTAAGGAGAGCCTTCGAGGCCGTGGACACTGCACGACAATCCTCCCAAACACTCAGAATTCCGGTGCATCGCCGACGCATTGCCGTCGTGATGCCGGAACTCTGTTTTCCTACTTCCAACTTACTTTACGCTTCATTTAGTGATATTTTTTGTGATTTTAATTTACCAAAATATACTTTGTTCTATTACGATTCTTCTGGCTTTTATAGATCTTAATTTGATTAATTAAATCATCTATAATCGCTTACGTAAGAATTGTCGAGCGGAACTCTATTTCTGCCCGATTCGCATTCGTCGGGCGCTGACGTCATCCTGACGTCCGCACCCTTATTTCCCTTTTTCGTGAATTTTAAATATATTTCCTTTTCATTTCCTAGTATACAATTCATAGAAAATCGTATTCATTGAGAAAAATTCTGAATAATTACCATATATTATATTAAATCCTTGTGATCGACCTGGAAAATTACTACTATTTTTGGGAGTTTTATTGAATTATAATTGATATATTTGTTCAGAAATACTTCTAAATATCTGAAAATTCGTATTTTCTAGTTTTATAAATTTTATATTTGCGTGATTTAATATACAACGACTAAGTCACATCAACCATCATCACGGCACTCGTACGAGGCCTTAGATCCCGCTACTCTCTGAGTAGCTAGAGTGGACACGAGTCCACCATCTTCGTCGAGATCGACGGATTTGGTACCAGACCCCTCCCGACCCCGAGAGACTCTGAGCCCTATGTCGGCCAGAGAGGCATCAAGGCGGTCCCAGCCGCCTGCGGCTATGAGCCGCCGAGCTGGGAAGGAATCCGTGCCCTACTATCCACCGAAGAGTACTAGGGGTCATGGTAGAGGTGGCCAATGGCAACCTTTGCCCCGGTACCCTTCAAGGGATGGAGCGCGCTCCCTTCCAGATGATGTCATGTGTAGCATGACCTAGGCTATTGAACATCTGGAGCGAGCTACCTTTGTAGCCGCAGCTCATGGCCCACCGCCACTGGCTCCACTGCTGGTTGCGTATCCGGTCGCACCACTGACCGCACCCCCTATTACATAGGCATATCAAGAGCATCGCGAGCCCCGCCGGCCTATGAGCCCCAATAGTGATCCATATGATCACCAGTACCTCGATCACGATCATCATCGAGGGAATCTTCGTCACTGCAACACACCACGTCACGACGATGGCCACGATCAATTGGGCGGTCGTTGGCCACAAGATACTTATGATCACCACGAGCCGGTCTACCCTGCTCATAAGGACGATCTCCCACGTCCACCACCACCGCCACCCGACCCCACTACGAGGACTATTGACCCCACAGACGCGACCAAGGACACGACTCAGTCGTTGTATATTAAATCACGCAAATCTAAAATTTATAAAACTAGAAAATACGAATTTCCGGATATTTAGAAGTATTTATAAATAAATATATCAATTATAATTCAATAAAAGTTCCAAAAATAGCGGTAATTTCCCAGGTCGATCACAGGGATGTAATATAATATTTTGTAATTATTCAGAGTTTTTCTCAATGAATACGATTTTCTATGAATTTTATACTAGGAAATGAAAAGGAAATATATTTAAAATTCACGAAAAAAAAAGAGGAAATAAGGGTGCGGACGACAGGATGACGTCAGCGCCCGGCGAACGCGAATCGGGCAGAAACAGAGTTCCGCCCGGCGATTCTTACGTAAGCGATTACAGACGATTTAATTAATCAAATTAAGATCTGTAAAAGCCGGAAGAATCGTAATTGAACGAAGTATAGTTTGGTAAATTAAAATCACACAAAGTATCACTAAATAAAGCGTAAATTAAATTGAAAGCAGGAAACCAGAGTTCCGGCGTCGCGACGGCGATGCTTCGGCGATGCATCGGAATCCTGAGCGTTCGGGAGGATCGTCGTGCAGTGTCCACGGCCTCGAAGGCTCTCCTTGGACAAAGACGACGTAGGCAATCTCTAGATCTTCTCGCGAAGTCTAGAGATCAATGAAGTGGGTCGTCGAGTCGTCTCCGGCGACTGTCACCCGACGGAGCGGAAAAACGGCGACTTTGCGGCTCTCCGGCGGCTGTCACCCGACGGAGAGGAGCTGGATGGAGGTGGGGCGCGTGTTAGGGAGCTTCATCCTCAGGTCCGCGCAGCAAGGGGAGGCTCTTCATCGCATCTGGTACGCTCTCAGGAGGTGGCGACTCGTCTCCCGGCGGATCGTCCTCTTCCCGACGACGGCTTGTTCGTCGATCAATCGGAGATGATTTACTCGATGGATTGCGATCCTTTTATCGCGAATCGTTCAGCAATTTTAGTAGCAATGCTCCGCGAATCGCGTTGACGAGATTTTCGCCGATGATCCAGCGATTCCGGTTGCTTAATCCTTCACCGGCGATCTGCAGGAAAGTCGCGATAATCAGTTAAAAATATATGAATTTTGACTCTGGGAGGATTCGAACCCGCGGCGGTCGCCCGCCCCTGAACAAGGTGGATTTAGTCCCACATCGGTTGTGCGCGGATTATTCGGGCGAATATATAGTAAAGTTAGCTTTCTAGGCAAAGTCCTCTCGCGTGTACGACCACTCCTTGCCCCACAGCCGGCTGACCACCGGTGACGTGGAAGGGGAGTGGCGCACACGTGCCCCTATCGATCCAAGCAAGCCGCTCGAGCCCCTGCTCGCGGCTACTCCCCGACTGCGCTTCCGACCCGCTTGCGGGCCCGGCTGGCCGGCGGATCACCCCATTTTGCAATATTTTTATTTTTATTTCTTGTTCTTCATTTATCTCAAAACTAAGACTGTAAAAATCGTATAAAATCACATAATTACCCAAAATTCACGTTAATCAACTGAAAACCACTTTTCATGCTTTAACACAAATATAAGTCTATTTATCATGAGTTAAGGCTAAAACTATATTATTTACTAATTATTAACTCATGATAATGAAGACTTATCACACCCCCCAACTTAAATCATTGCTAGTCCCTTAGCAATGGAATTACGAAAATAAAAATTTACAAATCTCAAACATCATATTTCAATACAGAAAAGAAATACAATTAGAAATGATGCACCTTTAAACACTTTGGATTCTTATATCAAGTATTTAAGAATGATGTCAAGCACTTAAATGTTTAAACACTCCTTGGAATAACAATCTAGACTTCACTTCTTCTATTCACATCTTTATCACTTCTTCACTCATAGATGTATTTACAAGATGTTCCAATTATCAATACTCATCCAAGAATAATATTGATCTTACATTTCCCTTTTTCTATGACTTGATTTTTGAAGTTTGCACTATATTTCTTCCTTCTTTTTTTTTTTATATATATAGTGGATAAGTAGCTTTTCCTGTAGACAAATTTCAACAATAAGAATGATGTCTCACACCCTCCATGTGTGCTCTTCATTTTCAGGGCTTTCACTTTATCCACTTATTTTTTAGCAAGTGTTTTTCTATGCACGATTTTCGACAATGAGAATGATGTCTCACACCCTCCATGTGTACTCTTCGTTTCTAGATTTTTCACATTGCTCTCTCTTTTTTTTTTTTTTTTTGAAATAAGTGATTTCTCCTCACAAGTCCTATAGATCAGGGTGCAAAAATCTCCATTAAACTCAAATGATCAATCAAATTTTCACATCAAGTAAATATTATCCATCAAGATCATGAAGTGAAAATCTGTAAAATCAAATCCATGTTATCTATCATGTATCCAAGGAGTATTCCAACATTTCATGCTACTAGATCATTCTTTTGACTCAATAATAATCTTCCTAGTATCTTTTGGTATCAATCAATCTAATTGATTTAATTTTTCATGCATGCAATATGATGTAAGGAATTTGTAAATTAGATAGTTCTGACAGTTCTGTTTTCTATTTTCAGTTCTATTTTAGGAGCAATAAATTTATCAAAAATAAATCAAAACTATCTTCTTTATAGCTGTAATTTCGAATTTCAGTAATATATGTCTAGGGGATTGAAATGTGAGAAAAGGGTCTCTATAATTTCAAATTTCGGGTTGTTTTTTCATCTGCTGTTTTTAACAGTCTGTTGTTCCTGACAGAAAACCAGAAAATAGATGTTGCAGTTTTTCCGAATTCGGTGATTTTTTTTTATTTTTTTAGTTGCTGTTCTAAGTTGAATAAAATGCAAACACATGTTCTTAATCGTCCTACAGCATAAATTAATAATGAATACTTCCCCCCCGACTTAAAAATGACATTGTCCTCAATGACACAAAAAAAAATCGAAACAGAATATGCAGAAAATATAATTTTCAAGTAAAGCATGCATATATGCAAAGTTAAGCATTAAAAATATTGTCATAAATGATAAAGCTCAGAAAGACATCATCTCAACCTCGTTTTTAATTTTCCACTTCATCTTACACACCTCCTCCTGCACTTCTTCGAAAAAAAACAAATACAGAAACAAGTACTGCGAAATTCTAAGAAAAACAGAGCTTAAAAAAAAATCAAACAGAATGAAATAAAAACCATGGGTTGCCTCCCATGCAGCGCTGAATTTAATGTCTCCAGCTGGACTCCTTGATCTTACTCTTGAATTTCTTTTAATAATAAAATTTCTTTTTCTGCAAGGCGTTCATGTTCTATGTAATGTTTAAGCCGCTGTCCATTTACCTTAAAGTTATGATCACTTTTAGGATCTTTAATCATTACAGCCCCATGATCATATGTCTCTTCCACCACATAAGGCCCTTTCCATTTTGATTTTAATTTTCCTGGGAATAATTTCAGCCTAGAATCATATAACCACACTTTTTGTCCAACATCAAATTTTTTTCTGCTAATGTATTTATCATGAAAAGTTTTAGTTTTTTCTTTATATATTCTATGATTTTCATAAGCTTCATTCCTCAACTCCTCTAGTTCATGTAACTGAAAAATTCTATGCCCACCAGCTGATTTTTCATCCATACATAAATTTTTTATAGCCCATAATGCTTTATGCTCTATTTCCACAGGAAGATGACATGGCTTTCCAAAAATGAGACGAAATGGGGACATACCTATGGGATTTTTATAAGCTGTTCTATAAGCCCATAATGCATCTTGTAATTTCGTGGGCCAATCTTTCCTATCTGGTCTAACTATTTTTCTCAAAATTCTCTGAATTTCCTTATTTGCTACTTCAACTTGCCCATTTGTTTGGGGATGATATGGAGTGGCTACTCTATGGTGTACTCCATTCTTTTTCAACAGTTCTCTGAAATTTTTATTTGTAAAATGTGTTCCTCCATCACTAATAATCACTCTAGGACATCCAAATCTCGAAAAAATATTTTCCTACACAAATTTCATCACGATTTTATGATCATTAGTTCTAGTAGGAATAGCTTCCACCCACTTCGACACATAATCAACAGCAAGCAAAATATATTCATATTTTTCAGCTGATGGGAAGGGACCCATGAAATCTATTCCCCATACATCAAAAATTTCGACTACTAACATGTTACTCATGGGCATTTCATCTTTTTTACTCATGTTACTTATAGATTGGCATGAAATACATGTTCTACTAAATTCTATAGAATCTCTAATGATTGTAGGCCAATAAAAACCACACTGAAAAATTTTTGCAGCTGTTTTTCGTCTAGAGAAGTGTCCTCCACAGTTAGATGAATGGCACATGTTAATAATGCTATGGTATTCTTCTTCAGGAACACATCTCCTTAAAATTTGATCATTGCCCAAGTAATATAAATCAGGATCATGCCAAAAATAATTTCTAATCTTAGAAAAGAAATGATTTTTTCTGTTCTTATCCCACTGTTCTGGAGTTTTTCCAGAAACCAGAAAATTAATAATATGTGCATACCATGGTGATGGTTGATGTTGAGCTGCCATCAATTGTTCATCTGGAAATGCGTCTTGTAAAGGTGCTGCATTTATTCCTGTGTCACTTAATCTAGAAAGATGGTCAGCAACAGCATTCTCGAAACCTTTTTTATCTTTTATTTCTAAGTCAAATTCCTGCAACAATAAAATCCATCTTAATAAACGTGGCTTTGCATCTTTCTTATTTAACAGATATTTTAATGCTGCATGATCAGTATAAATAATAATTTTAGCTCCCAAAATATATGATCTAAACCTTTCTAACGAAAATACTACAGCTAACAACTCTTTTTCAGTCGTGGTATAATTTAATTGAGCATCGGATATAGTTTTACTAGCATATAAAATTACTATGAGTTTTGACTCTTTTGTTTGTCCTAGAACAGCCCCCACTGCATAATTCGATGCATCACATATTATTTCAAAGGGAAGGGACCAATCAGGAGCTTGTAAAATGGGTGCCTCAGTAAGTAATCTTTTTATTACGGAAAAAGACTCAAAACATTTCTCATCAAAATTAAAAGGCATATCTTTAGATAATAGCATGGTGAGAGGTTTAGAAATCTTCGAAAAATCTTGAATAAATTTTCTGTAATAACCTGCATGACCCAAGAAAGATCTAATCTGTTTTACTGAATTTGGAGGTTTCATTTTAGATATAATATCAATTTTTGCTCTATCCACCTCTAAACCCCTTTTACTCACAATATGACCCAACACAACTCCCTCTTTAACCATAAAATGTGATTTCTCCCAACTCAAAACTAATTTTTTTCTCTATGCATTTCTCAAGTACATGCTGTAAATGATTTAAGCATTCATCAAATGATTCGCCAAAAACAGAAAAATCGTCCATAAAAATTTCCATGCATTTTCCAATCATATCAGAAAAAATAGACAGCATACATCTTTGAAATGTGGCTGGAGCATTACACAGACCAAAAGGCATGCATTTAAAAGCAAAAGTACCAAATGGACAAGTGAAAGTTGTTTTTTCTTGATCTAAAGGGTTTATATAAATTTGATTATAACCAGAGTATCCATCTAGAAAACAAAAAAAGTTTTTTCCAACTAATTTTTCTAGAATTTGATTAGTAAATGGTAGGGGAAAATGATCTTTTCTAGTAACTGAATTTAATTTTCTATAATCAATGCAAACTCTCCAACCGGTAGTTAGTCTTGTTTGTATTTCATCCCCATTTTCGTTTTTTATAACCGTAATCCCTGATTTTTTTGGCACTACTTGTGTAGGACTAACCCATTTGCTATCTGAAATAGGATAAATAATATCAGCAGCCAGCCACTTTAAAATTTCCTTTTTTACAATTTCCATCATGTTAGGATTTAATCTTCGTTGTGGTTCCCTACTAGTTCTAGCCCCCTCCTCTAAATATATACTATACATGCATACACTCATATCAATGCCCCTTAGATCGTCCATTTTCCAGCCCATAGCTTTCTTATTTTTTCGAAGTACATCTAATAATTCTTCTTCCTGTTCATCACTCAAATCAGCTGCAATAATAACAGGAAATGAATTATTTTCCTCCAAAAACATATATTTTAAACTAGAGGGAAGAGGTTTCAACTCTAAATTCAGATGATCTTCCTCTTTCTTTTCTTCTAAATTTATATTCTCTATTTCCTCTAATTCTTTCAGCACACAGTCATCAATAACATCTGGATCATCAAAATCATCTAGAAGATCTATGGTATGACAATCATATACTTGGGATTTCTTAATATCATTTGATATCTCAAAAATTTTAATTTCTACTGATTGATCTCCACATGAAATTTTCGCAATACCTGTGAGAAAATCAATATTCATCTTTTCTGTATGCAAAAATGGTCTCCCTAAGATGATTGGTGTATCATAAAACTGTCCATTAAAATCCATTTTCAGTACTATGAAATCAGCTGGAAATTTACACCCTTTAACTGTCACTATCACATTTTCTAAAATACCTTTAGGATGTTTTATGGATCTATCAGCAAATTGTAAGGTAACAGTAGAAAGTTTAAGATGAGAAATATTAAATTTATCACAAATACTTGCAGGTAATAAATTAATGCTAGCACCGGTGTCAAGTAATGCATTCTGAAAAATGAATCCATCAATATCACACGAAATCAAAGGGGCACCTGTATCTCTCAATTTATATGGTAATTGATTTAATAATAATGCACTAGCATGCATAGATAATTTTTCTACTCTAGGTGCCCTTTTTGGTGTACACATTTCTTTCAAAACTCTAGCATATTCAGGAATATGTTCAATGGCAGTAAGTAAAAGAAGACTAATTTGCACATCTTGTAAAATTTTCTTTATTTCTTCATTGTGTTCCTTTTTCTTTCTTTGTCTAGGCTCTAGAGCTTTAGGAAATGGAATGGTTGTCCTCTCTTTCGAAATTTCCTTGGTAGAATCTATAAAATCCTCTTCTACTCCTATTTGATTTTGTTTTGGGTTGTCCACGTTTTCTTTTTCTTCTAATGTTTGGGGATAAGGATCAGCTAAGATCTTACCACTCCTTAATGCATTCACTGTCCTAACATTTTCATTTCGTGGGTTTTTTCCTAGATTCATGCTGAAATCCTATTGTTGGGCGGTTCCCTGGATTTTCTATGGGCTGACTAGGTAGCTGTCCCTCTTCTCTCTTATTCCCAAGAGCCTCTATAATTTGTTTCTGGTGCAGCATCATTTGGTTCATAGTTTGTTGCATCATTTGGCTCATTTGCTGCATCATTTCCATAGCATCAGGTTGGATTTGAGAGGACTGATTTTTCTGAAATCTGTTTTCTTGTTTTGGACGAAATTCAGAGTTTGAATTGGGTCTAAGTGCTTCTGGATTTTGAATATTATTTGGGTCTCTCCATGAAAAACTATTCCTCCAATTAGGATTATAAGAATTTGAAAAAGGTTCCCTGTTTCTATTAAAACCGTGAGCCACTTGCACTTGTTCTTGCATAGGGTGAAATGATTGATCTAAATTATAACATTGAAATTCAGAATAATCGTTTTCACCATACATAGGACATGTACTATTCGAATTAAGTTGAGGGTTAAAAGGCTTTCTAATATTGTCAATAAGTAAATCAATTTTTTCTAATCTTTGATTAATCTGATTAACCTCATTTCTAAGTTTAGAATCATCATCATGATGCAATTCATAAATTCTTCTCTTCTTATCCCTGTCATATAATTCAAAAGAGGCTTGATCTCTAGAATTTTCACTTAAATTCTCATAAAGACTGTAAATCTCATCAGGAGTTTTCTCCATAAAAGCTCCTCCACATATAGAATCAACCATATTTCTATGTTGTTCTAATAATCCATCATAAAAAATTCTATTGAGCTGCCACTTGGGTATAGCATGATGAGGACACTTTCTAAGTAAATCTTTAAATTTTTCCCATGTCTCATGCAAAGTTTCTCCTGGTCTTTGATAAAAACTCCATATATGTTTTCTCATATTTTGAGTTTTTCCTAAGGGATAAAATTTTCGAAGAAAGGCCTGTTCTATATCTTTCCACCTAGTTAATTCTCTATCTAATGTGGATAGCCAATGACTAGCTTTGTCCCTAAGTGTATGAGGGAATAATTTCATCTTAATAATTTCCGGTGTAACTTGAGAGAGATTAACTAAATCACAGACCATATGAAATTTTTCCAAGTGCTGATGAGGTTCCTCTAAAGGCAATCCATGAAAATTAGGGAGCATTTGAAAAATTCCTGGATTTATTTCGAATTTAATAGTGGGTGCTAATGGGACTCTAATATTGGATGCTCTTTGAAATGAATCAGGGATATAATGATTTTTCATGGCCATAGGATTGTTCTCAGTTTGACCTGTACTTCCTTCAGGATCCATCAAAATTAATTTTTCTTTCGGATTTTTCTTTTTGAATGAAATAATGAAAGGATTTTCTAGCCTTGGATGCAAGGATCTTCTACCATGCATAAAAATCAATAAATTCGAGGGAAAAAGTTAGTAACTGTTACCCTCCTTCAGGATGCTCCAGTCCTTGCCGTGCTTCTTTTCGTTCCCTTTTTTCAAATAAAAATCGGCAAAAAGAAAATAAAACAAGAGTTAATTTTTTTTTTTTTTTTTTTTTTTTTGTGTACTCTAAGAGAAAAATAGAAAAATACTAAATATTATGCAATACATCCCCGGCAACGGCGCCAAAATTTGACGTGACTCAGTCATTGTATATTAAATCATGCAAATCTAAAATTTATAAAACTAGAAAATACGAATTTCCGGATATTTAGAAGTATTTATAAATAAATATATCAATTATAATTCAATAAAAGTTCCAAAAATAGCGGTAATTTCCCAGGTCGATCACAGGGATGTAATATAATATTTTGTAATTATTCAGAGTTTTCCTCAATGAATACGAATTTCTATGAATTTTATACTAGGAAATGAAAAGGAAATATATTTAAAATTCACGAAAAAAAAGAGGAAATAAGGGTGTGGACGACAGGATGACGTTAGCGCCCGGCGAACGCGAATCGGGCGGAAATAGAGTTCCACCCGGCGATTCTTACGTAAGCGATTACAGACGATTTAATTAATCAAATTAAGATCTGTAAAAGCCGGAAGAATCGTAATTGAACGAAGTATAGTTTGGTAAATTAAAATCACACAAAGTATCACTAAATAAAGCGTAACTTAAATTGAAAGCAGGAAACCAGAGTTCCGGCGTCGCGACGGCGATGCTTCGGCGATGCACCGGAATCCTGAGCGTTCGGGAGGATCGTCGTGCAGTGTCCACGGCCTCGAAGGCTCTCCTTGGACAAAGACGACGTAGGCAATCTCTAGATCTTCTCGCGAAGTCTAGAGATCAATGAAGTGGGTCGTCGAGTCATCTCCGGCGACTATCACCCGACGGAGCGGAAAAACGGCGACTTTGCGGCTCTCCGGCGGCTGTCACCCGACGGAGAGGAGCTGGATGGAGGTGGGGCGCGTGTCAGGGAGCTTCATCCTCAGGTCCGCGCAGCAAGGGGAGGCTCTTCATCGCATCTGGTACGCTCTCAGGAGGTGGCGACTCGTCTCCCGGCGGATCGTCCTCTTCCTGACGACGGCTTGTTCGTCGATCAATCGGAGATGATTTACTCGATGGATTGCGATCCTTTTATCGCGAATCGTTCAGCAATTTTAGTAGCAATGCTCCGCGAATCGCGTTGACGAGATTTTCGCCGATGATCTAGCGATTCCGGTTGCTTAATCCTTCACCGGCGATCTGCAGGAAAGTCGCGATAATCAGTTAAAAATATATGAATTTTGACTCTAGGAGGATTCGAACCCACGGCAGTCGCCCGCCCCTGAACAAGGTGTGACGCGGGTTTAGTCCCACATCGGTTGTGCGCGGATTATTCGGGCGAATATATAGTAAAGTTAGCTTTCTAGGCAAAGTCCTCTCGTGTGTACGACCACTCCTTGCCCCACAGCTGGTTGACCACCGGTGACATGGAAGGGGAGTGGCGCACACGTGCCCCTATTGATCCAAGCAAGCCGCTCGAGCCCCTGCTCGCGGCTACTCCCCGACTACGCTTCCAACCCGCTTGCGGGCCTGGCTGGCCGGCGGGTCCCCCCATTTTGCAATATTTTTATTTTTATTTCTTGTTCTTCATTTATCTCAAAACTAAGATTGTAAAAATCGTGTAAAATCACATAATTACCCAAAAATTCACGTTAATCAACTGAAAACCACTTTTCATGCTTTAACACAAATATAAGTCTATTTATCATGAGTTAAGGCTAAAACTATATTATTTACTAATTATTAACTCATGATAATGAAGACTTATCACTGACCCTTCCCGACGAGAGGAGCTCGATCAGCAAGCAGAGTGTCAGCCACGAGATCGCGATGATTCCTACCGCAACTACCAGCGTGCTCCAAACTTTCACTGAGCACCCCAGGATGCCCACCAAGATCGTTACTACAATCAAGGGCGTTACTCAAGTCCTCCCCACCGTGACTTTAGTGGTGACCATAGGGCCGATCGATTGGATGATCGGGATAGGCGACGTGAGGATCATAGGGCCCGCATACTGAAAAGTGTACAAGCCGATGTGGCAGTCTTTGACGGCTCCTGTGAGTCCAAGGACTTCATAGATTGGGAGTCTAGTATGAACTCCTATTTCCGGTGGTACCACATGGATGATGATTTATGCGTGGAGTATGCGGAGCTAAGACTTGGCGGACAGGCCAAGATCTTTTGAGAAAACAAGAGCTACACGGCACACTGACGAGGGCAGCCCATCACACCATGGGTTGATATGGCATCACGCTTGAGGAACAAGTATGTTCCTCGACAGTACGAGTCGACGCTGTTCCTCAATTGGTTAGACCTCTGATAGGGCAAGATGCCTATCCGAGACTATATTCAGGCTTTTGAGGAGTGCCCATGAGGTAATGCTTTGTCAAGGACTCACGTGTGGTTTTGGGCATTTTCACCGACGGACTTAGTTCGCGGCTTCGGAACGAGGTGCTGAAAGGCAACCCGTTTGAAGTAGATGAGGCCTATCGCATAGTAGAGCATATGGAGCGACCCGCCGAGGACACATAGTTCACCCCACCTCCGATCACCACGAAGATCGCGTCCACACGATCTGCACAGACACCGATGACAGCACCGATGCGTACTAGTGTAGGGAACGGACGGACTACACCGGCGACATCAGTAGGGTCTGCACCACCCCCACGTCCGCCACCAGCTGACGCATCCGATCGTGCTACGGCCGCGTCCCAAGCCCATATCACTTGTTGCAAGTGTAAGGGTAAGGTGCACCGGATGAGCCAATGCCCATCTTTAAATCTCCTCATAGAGATCGAAGAATTGGGTAGAGGTTCACACGAGGCTGACGTCCCTGTAGGCGATGATGTCTACATTGCTGACGAGGGTTTAGCCGAGGAGTGTGATGACACTCCTGATTTAATTGGCTACATCTAGATCCGGCCAGCCACCGTACCAGCAACTGAGGCTGCCTCTCTCGCTACCTCATTGACGAGCACTTCATTGAGGAGATTGGTCAGCATCGCTGTCCAGTGTCCATCTCGAGACACGGTTCCTGCACCACAGCCTGACACCACGGCAGCTAGAGAGATCACCTCGGCACCGAGGATGACTATGCCCACATCTTCGCCTACGACAGACGATTCCTTTCGTACGTCGATCTTCTACACCTATGTGAAGATCAACGGACACGCGTGCAAGGTGATTGTGGACAGCGGCAGTTGCGTCAATGCCGTGTCAGACTAGGTCTTGCAGAGGGCAGGGCTGAGTACTATCAGTCATCCAGCCCCTTACGACATATTGTGGATAGACGCCACTGCACTACCCATTTGTTGACAGTGCCAAGTGCCACTTAGGGTGAGCACCTATGATGAGCACATCTTGTGTGATGTCCTTCTGATGAAAATCGACGGCATCATACTTGGATGGCCCTAGTTATTTGACTATGACATCCAACTCATGGGAAGAGCAAACACTTGCTCTTTCATATATCGAGATCGCCGACTTGTTTGGTATCCGCATATCAACAAGCCTGCGCCGAAGCGTGACCCTAAGTCACATATTGGGTTAATCGTGATGAAGGGACTTGCCTTTCAGCACGAGATCACGTCGGACATAGATGGATCCCTGACATGCTTCGCTCTCACTTTGGATACGTGAGACGACACGACCCTTACCCCGCCTTCTCCAGAAGTCGAAGGTATATTATCGGAGTACGCCGATGTACTCATAGAGGAGCTTTCCAGAGAGCTGCCTCCATTGAGGCACATTCAGCATGCTATCGACTTGGTTCTCGGAGCATCACTCCCAAACCTGCCGCACTATCGCATGGAGTTGGCCAAGTATGAGGAGCTTAGCTGACAGGTACAAGAGCTTTTGGACAAGGGACTCATCCAGCTGAGCCTTAGTCCCTACGCCGTGCTTGCATTACTAGCGCCGAAGAAGGATGACACTTGGCGCATGTGCTGCAACAGTCGCGTGATCAATAGGATAACGGTTAAATACCATTTTCTGATCCCGCGATTACAGGACTTATTTGACATGATGATAGAAGCCACTATCTTTTCAAAGATAGATCTACGCAATGGTTATCATTAGGTCATGATACGTCTAGGGGACGAGTGGAAGACCACCTTCAAGATCAAGGAGGGCCTGTACGAGTGGAGGGTCATGCCATTTGGCCTCTCCAACGCGCCCAGTACATTCTAGAGGCTAATGAACGAGGTTTTACACCCATTCATTGGCAAGTTCATCGTAGTATACTTCAACGACATCTTGATCTACAGCGGTACCCGAGATTCCCACCTCCAGCACTTATGATAGGTGTTTGAGGCACTTCGATAGGAGAAGCTTTATGCCCATCCTAAGAAGTGTAGTTTCTTTACTTCCGAGGTTACATTCCTTGGTTTTGTCGTCTCTAAGCGAGGAGTTTCCACAGACCCCGAAAAGGTCCGCGCGATAGTCACCTGGCCACGGCCATGTAGCATGCACAACATCCGGAGCTTCATTGGACTAGCGACATTCTACCGTTGCTTCATTTGGGACTTTAGTTCTGTTACCGCTCTACTTACTGATTGCCTCAAGAAGGAGACCTTCCTTTGGACAGAAGCAGCTGAACAGGCCTTTGATCGAGTGAAGGCTCTTATCACTCAGGCACCGATACTTCACCTACCCGACTTTTGGCAAGGTATTTGAGGTCGCCTGTGACTCCTCAGGTGTCAGTATTAGGGGTGTCCTTAGCTAGGAAGGCAATCCCATAGTGTACTTCAGTGAGAAGCTAAATGACGTGAGGCTTAAATACTCCACTTACGATCGTGAGTTCTATGCCGTCATTTAGGCTCTCAAACACTGGCGTCATTACCTCCTTTATAAGGAGTTTGTGCTCTTCTCGAACCATGAGGCCTTGAAGTATCTACACTTTCAGTGGAAGTTGAGCAATCAACACGCACAATGGGTCGAGTACTTGTAGGACTTCACCTTCATCCTTCGCCACAAGAAGGGCAAGGAGAACGTGATGGCAAATGCCTCAGTCGACGAGTCTACTTGCTGAACCTCGTGAAGGTTCAGGTGATAGGATTTGAGTCCCTACCGGATTCTTATGCAGATTGCCCGGACTTCGGCCACGTTCTACGAGCACTCTTGGATGGTCCATCTTGAGATCATAAGGACTTCCTTGTGGTCAACGGATGTCTATTCTTTAGGAGCAGATTGTGTGTTCCACGCACATCCCTCCGTGACTTCCTCACTTGGGAATGTCACACAAGAGGTCTATTCGGCCATTTCAGTCGCAATAAGACCATCGTAGCGGTTGAGTACCAATTCTACTGGCCGACCCTCAAGCGTGATGTAGGGAACATCGTCGCTCAGTGTCGAGTGTGCGCACTTGCCAAGCAGGTAAAGAAGAATGTTAGACTCTACATGCCACTTCCAGTGCGGACCCGCCCATGGGACGATGTCAGCATGGACTTCGTTTTGGGACTCCCACGCACTGCACGACGACACGACTTGATCATGGTGGTCGTCGATAGGTTTTCAAAGATGGCACACTTCGTGCCATGTTCGAAAACCTCCGACGCCTCCAAGGTTGCTAGCCTCTACTTTAGAGAGATTGTGCACTTTCATGGACTACCCAAGTCTATAGTCTTAGACCATGACATACAGTTTACCAGCCACTTCTGGAGGACTCTTTGGAACTTACTTGGGACTAAGCTCAAGTTCTCTACTACTTACCATCCATAGACTGATGGCCAGACCGAGGTCGTCAATTATAGCTTAGGGAATCTGCTTCAATCATTAGTTGGCGAGAGCTTAACCACTTGAGATCTGATCATACCATGCGCCGAGTTTGCCTATAACTCCTCGACCAACTGTACCACTGGCATGAGCCCCTTCGAGATCGCACAGGGCTTAGCACCCCGCAAGCCCCTAGATCTAGTACCCTTAGACCCTCATGTTAGAGTTTCTGAGCATGGTGTCGCATTCGCCCAACATGTTAGTCAGTTACATCAAGACATCCACGATAGGATACAGAGTCAGAATGCATTGTACAAGCAGGCTGCTGATATGCATCGTCGACCCCGGATCTTCCAGGTGGGAGACCAAGTTATGGTGAGGATGAGGCCCAAGCGTTACGCTCCTAGCTCTGCTACGAAGCTTCACGCTCGTAGCGCCGGCCCGTTTCGTGTTCTTTCCTAGATAGGCCAGAATGCCTATGCCGTCGACATCCCTCCTTCGTGGGGGATTAGCTCCACGTTCAACGTGGTGGATCTGGCGTAGCACCAAGCCCCACCTCTTTCATCTGACATCGAGTCCTCATCTATCGGCCCCTTCTTTGTGAGAGAGTTTGCCATGGAGTCCACTCCCCCCATTTTACCTCCTGATTGGCACGAGCGAGTCAAGGAGATTCTTCAGGAGGTAATTGACTTTACAGGGGATAGAGTTTCACAGAGATTCCTAGTACGTTGGCAAGGTCGCCCGTCAGAGGACGATGCTTGGATTTTGGAGGCGGACCTGGAGCGACTACGACCAGACCTGCTGGAGCCCTTGCCTTCCCCACTTGCCAACTCGTCGGAGTCAAGTTCTTTCGACCCCAGGAGGATTGATGGTGAGTGGGACCCATCTCCATCAGCTCAGGAGACACCGGCAGTTCGAGTTCAGCCCGATCGACGCACGAAGACAAAGGAGCCTGGCTTTCGCTACATGGCCTGGCCCTTCGGGACGATGACATTCCACCTCTGTGACGACGACAAGCTCGAGCTCACCCTTATCTTTCTTTGTATTTTCACACTTGTTGGGCCTCGCGTTTGTGTGTTAGTGGGCCCAATTCTATGTGTGTGTTGTTGTTTGTGTCTCCCTTTCTTTATGGTTTAATTGGGTCTCTCTTTTCAGGCCCAATTAAAACTCTAAGGGGGGGGGACCTATGTGTCTTTCCTTTTGGGCCTCTTTTGGGGCTTATTTAGGTCTTCATTTGAGGCCCACTTAAGCACCGTACGAGGGCCCTCCTCTTTCTCCTTTTAAGGGAGCTTATTGGGTCTCTCTTTTAGAGGCCCAATAAGCCATTTTGTAGCCTTTTTGTGGCTTATGGGCTTGAGGGCCTCAAGTGGCCCCCCCTCCACTTAGCCCACTTGTGGGCCCTATATAAGGGGAGGTAGGACCCCCCCTCAACAAGAAGCGCCGAATTTTGTGAGAGATTATCGTTTGTGAGTTACCTTCATCGTGACCTAGGATAGGGAGGGAAGGAGGGAGAGGAAGGCCGTCGATACCCTTTAAGGACTTCGTTCATCGTGACGCTGCTGCCTAAGAAGTCCCGCCACCGCCTGAGACCAACTGTCGCCACCGGACATCTTCATTGCCGCCTGTGAGATCGCCGCCTTCACCGGATGAAACGGTCGCGGTTGCCGCTGCAACCGTTGCCACCTCTGTTGGAACCCCGTCACACCGTTGTGACGAAAGGGGCTTGCTTCGCCTCCTTACGAGCCGTCGCCGAGCACTCCACCGGAGTCTATTGACTCCTAGTTCGACTACCCCCTCTTCCTTCGGAACTCCACCATAAACTCGCCAGAGCCACCATCCGCCGCTCCGCCCAATCGCTGGCCGTTCGCCAACGAACGCCTACCTGCCGCTGACGTCAGAAGAGACCCTGCAGCCGTGCTGATGAGCCAGATCTAGTCCAAGCTCCGCACAGGCCCCCGCTGGAGTTTCCCGACGATCTGCTGCCGTCGCGCCGTTTCCGGCACCACCTAGACCAGGAGGGCTCAACCCTCCCTGGTATCGTCAGCCGGGATCGTCTCCTTCCTCTGCTCCACTTCCCGACACTGCCAGAGAAGGCCGATCCTTCCGGCGACGGTTGGGCTTTTGCCCAACCACCGATGCTCGGCATTCCCGCCGAAGCGCTGCCGCTGCGTGTGCCCCCCGCGCCGGCTCCTGCGGCCTGCACACCCACCTGGCGCCACTGCCCGCATGCCCAAGGCACACCGCGGCTTGCCGTGCGCTCTCGCTAGCGTGCCCTTCAGCCCACCAGTGGGCCCACGCCCACGCCGACCACACTACGCCTTACAACGACGACTACTACGGCTCTCGACCAGGACCAATCGTCGACGCTGAGCATCGCTCTTCACCAGACGTCTCTACTTACGTCGAGTCTCTGCTCCATCACGACCCGCCAGGCTATGCAGCCCCGAAGGTTAGCTCCGTACCCCCTTCTTACTTAAGTTTAATTATCTTTCGAAGGGTTTTCTCGGCTCATTTCCACTGCCATCTAGAGAACGTAGATAGGATAGGACGGGTTATAGGATCATGATTTCTGACGCTACGTCAGACTCGTCACTGTTTGTGAGCTACAGCCCTAGGCTACTTCACGATGACCGTTTCGCCGTCTGTCCAGATGTGGACTGAGAGGGTCTCACACTTACCATCATCGAGTGTTTCCCGGGTTGTCCTAGGTTGATAGTACATATTGGTACGCCTGCCTGTACTTAGGTTAGGTGGTCAGACGTAGAGTCTAGGATCCATACATTCTTATCAGATTGGTCCGACTGCCCCATCCCGGGTCTTGAGTTTCATTGATCATGTACAAGAGTTCTCGTCCCGTCCTACATCAAAACCCAATCAAACCAAGTTAATATATCACATTGTGATGATCTCTCAAGAAGAGACTACTTGAGAGTCTTTTAGTAAGAATATTTGCTTCTTAGTCCTTTGTGGAGACCAAAAATACTAGGATTTGTTTTGATACCACTTACTCACACATAAAATATGAAGTCAATGTAGAAATGAACACATCCAAATTAACTTTATAATGTGATCTGCAACTATCTTTGTGTTATACTTTGGTGCCAGATCTAAGACTTGGACATACTTCTTACATCTTAATGACATAAGTTGTACCTTAAGAAAATAAGGTACTTGTTTGTGGTTCATTGAACGCTATCAAAACCCAACTTAACTTGCACTATTTAAAGTACCAAGTTAAAGACTAAAGTACCATCAAAGTAAACTATGTTTGATAACTTTCTTTAGAGAATACATGATGTATTTGATAATTTATCTATAGGTCGTACATGAACTGACATGTCCAATTAACTACAAATTCAATATATGAATGGAAAATATTGAGGTCCTGAAAACCTCCACATGTCTTCTATATAAATAAAATTATACATGGTTGGAAATAGTATTAATATTTACATGTATTAATAATGTATTAATGGGTGTGGAGATGGGCTTAGAATTATCTATCTTGGCTCATTGAAATAAATGTGTTAGAATATTAAATATATAATATTTTGATAATGACATACACCTACGAGATAAATTAAAATATTAATTTATATTTAACATCTGTGCTTAATTTATAAATAACTATTATTTATGTATGAGTTTATATGTAAATGAATATAAATTTAGAAAGAATTTAGAGTATTAACAAAAAATATTCAAATAGTAACCCAAACAATGCATGTTACTTTCATAATATTTAACTCCCAAATTTAGTAGATTTTTACCACTTGAAATTATTGTTTCATAATATTTATAGAAACTGTGAATGTGGGAAAGTAATGATTAGCCCTCCATAATTAGAGAGAATTAATGAGATAAAATCTGTATAAAAGTTAACTTAGTACACCAAATACCCATGTTTAGAAATCATTACTTTCATATAGTCTGGATATCAAATTAATCTATTGTATTGAAATCAAACAACTTCTAGTCAACATTGAAGTTAGGATTTTCTATTTGGAGATCATGATCAATGTGTCTACTAGATGATCAAAATACGTTTGAGATTATTTGGATAGATTTTGATTCTTAACTCATTAGTTTATTTTGAGATTTATTATCAATTATATTTTGATGTTAACTAATCTTTATTGGACTTGGTCAAATTGATAAGCTTCAAAAATATATTTTTGTATTTAGTGGTAGCATGTATTGATTTATTTCAGAGGATATTTGAAGTCTATAGTTCATGTATTATTACCTTTCGGTCATTTAAATATTTAAATAGCTTTAGAATTTAAATATATTGCAACTAAAGACAATATGAGAGTTTTTCAATGAAGTCTCTTTATAAATTAACACCTCTTCAGTAGTTAATGTGTTCTAATTCATCACTTTTGACCATCTCAAAATTCTTGTTGGCATTTTACAAAAAACATTCTATGTGGATTCAAGAGCTTTTCTTTGCTAGTGAAAAAACAAGAAGATGAGTCAAGGAATTCAATTTAAGCCAATAACTTTTTTTTACATCTAGTCAACTTCCTTATAGGAAGAGGATAGCAAGAATTGTGTCTTTACCATCATCTTCTGCATCAAGTTTCCAAACTTGTCCTAAGTCAATGCCTTCATCCAAAAATAATACATGGTGAAATACTATATAATACTTTTGGGGAAAAAAATAATGATTAAATTGATGTTTAATCATTCAAAAGAGTTTAAGCTTGTTCTACATGTGTTGAACAATTGCTCTAGTAGAGTGTAATAACACATAGATTCTTAGATAGTGGACATAGACAAAGAGAAGAACAAAGAAAAAGAAAAGAAGAGGACAAAAATATGTCATAAAAAGGGGAAGTGAAAATTTATTCTCATATTCTATCTTCTACTTGTAATCCCATGCAAACCAATTAGAGAGGAGATGTAATCTTTAAACCCATGACCAAAAGTTAGAATGTGGATTGGATGATGAATCTAGGTACTCGATGGTTATTTAAGACAAATAGGGGGAGGATGACTACGAATTAGAGGAAGGCTGAATTCATAAACAAGGCTAAATTAGATCAAGTATGTCATTTCGAGGAGTGTAAAACACAAAGATCTATAACTCTTTTCAAATTGTATCTTGTGATTTTGAACCATGTGATGATTCATCAACTTTAAACCATTCTTTCTAACATTAAAATGTGAGTATTCATTTGGGGGTATAATGGTGCTACTTATATTCAAGGATTGTAGAGTTAATGATTTTACCTTTTTTAATGGCTGTGATTTAAGATTTAAGAATGAGTTTTTAAGGAAAAAATTAGAATACATGTTTTGAAGGAATGATTTAATGATAAAACATTGCTAAGTCGCTAGTATTGATCTAAGTTAGCAGGTGTAATAAGTATTTATTATCATGAGTTTGATAGTTAGTTTAATAATATATTTTATACATTAACTCATGAAAAATAACTTAATTTACTTTAAATTGAGAA